TATGGTCCTTTCTGTGCTTTGGCTGCTCTGAGCGGAAATATCATCCTCAGGGCTTGGTGGGCCAGGGTGTGTTCTACTCTCTCTTCCTCTCCCCTCATTTGCTCCTGTGTGTTCTGATCAGACATATCTCTCTCCCTGAGCTGTAGCTTCAGTGCTGTCCTCTGAAGTGAATTCTTCTGCAGGGAGGGACACTGTCCACGTAGTTGGGATTGGGGCTGGCCCCTATTTTTATAGAATTTTACAGATTTTAGTAATTAGCTTCCTGTCTGTTGTGTCATTGCTAAATAGTTTGCCCAGTCTGTGGGCTCTCCTTTTACTCTTTTGATGTGTATAGGTGTTAAATTTTTAATCAGTCTCAGTCATCTATTTTGTCTTTAACTATGTGCGCCTCTTTATTATATTTGATAGTCTCTATATGACCTGTTAATAGGGACCTTAAGTTTGTCCAGCTTTCCTCATTGATGATCATTATAGCACCGTGATTTACATTTAAGTATCTGATCCATGTTGAATTTTTTTGGGTGCATGGGAGAGGTATGGGTCCTTTTTCAATTCTTCTGCAGATGAAGATCCAATATTTCTACACCATTTGTTGAAGAAGGTGTCCCTTTCTTAATGTTTTTTTGATCCTCGGTTGAAAATTAGTTGGATGTAGCTGGATGCTTTCATTTCTGAGTTTTCTATCTTGTTCCATTAGTCTATGTATAATTGTACCAGTACCAGACCATTTTGACCATTGTGACTGTGTAGTAGGTTTTGAGGTCCGGTAATGTGTAGCTTCCTACTTTTTCTTCATTTTGAGTTCTTTGCTTTTCCTGGACCTCTTCCCTCTCCATGTGAAATTGTTAATTCGTTTTTTCCACTTATTTAAAATTTGATTTTGTATCAAAATTGCATTGTATTTATAAATGGCTTTAGGTAATATTGACATTTCATAAATTTTTTTTCCTATCCATGAACACAGGATATTCTTCCATTTGTGTGGATCTCTCTGGTTTCTTGTAATAATGTTCTGAAATTTTATTTGTACAAGTCGTTTGTATTATTGGATAGGTTTGTTCCGAGGTATTTTATCTTTCCTGTGGCTATTGTAATTGATGTCTTTTTCAGAGCTCTCTCCCATGGTATAAAGGAATTTGAGTGATTTCTGCTTTTTAAATTTGTATTCTTCTTTACCAAATGCAAAATTGTTTCTAACAGTCTTTCTGTGTAGTCTTTTTGGTTCTCTCTATATAAAATATCATCTGCTAACAGCAGAGTTTCAATTCTTTGCCCAATTACTGTATGTACTCGTGTATAAGCTGAAATTTCCAGCACATTTTTAAAATTCAGTTTTTGTGGTAAAATTAGGTGCCTCAATTGATATTTGGTCGGCTTATACTCAAGTATATATGGTAAGTACCCTTAGATTTATTTCTGTTGTCTAATGGTTCTAACTAAAGCTTCCAACATGATATTGAATAAGAATGGTGATAGGGTCTAGCTGCCATTTTCATGGGAATGAGTTCAATTTTTCTCCTTTGAGCATGATTTTGGCTGTTGGATATTAATATTTGATCTTTATTATGTTGAGGACTTTCCCTTCTCTTCCTATTTTATTGAGTTGATTTTGTTTGTGTTTTTTTAATCAGAAATGGGTCTTGGATATGTCTTGTATATGTGGTGGATTACATTGATTGTTTTTTTGAATATTGAACCATCCTTGCATCCCTGGTATGAGTCTCACTTAATCGAGATACTTTTTTATGTTGTTGGATTCTATTGGTCATAAACTTTGTTGAAAAAATTTGCTTCTATGTTCATGAGAGATGTTGTTCTGTAGTTTTATGTCTGTGTGGGTCTTTGCCTGGATTTTGTATCAACATAATTATCATTTCATAAGTGAGTTCAGGAGTTTGCTGTCTTTTTCTATATTCTGGGATAGTCTCTGTAGGATTGGTGATAGCTCTTCACTGAATACTTGGTAGAATTTCCCTGAGAACTCATATTGTCCTGGAATTTTCTTGGTTGGAAGCCTCTTGGTGGTCTTCTCTATTTCTTCTTTTGTGATGGACCATTTACGCTTTTCTGCATCATCTGTATTAATCTTATAGATGGTGCATTTCTAGGTTTTTATCCATTTCTTCTAGATTATCAAATTTGTTGGAGTGCAATCTTTCATAGTAATTGGTTATTATTATTATGATGTCATTGTATCTATTGTGATGTTGTCCTTTTCATCTCTAATTTTAGATATTTGCATCTTTTCTTTCTTTTCTTCGTCAAGTTTGCCAACAGTTTGTCCATTTTGTTAATCCTTAAAATAAAAACTTCTTGTCTTATTGATTTTTTTCTCTTCCTTTTCTGTTTTCCGGATCATTTATTTTTGCTCTGATATTTATGATTTCTTTTTTCTGTTGTTGGAAGGTTTCTGTTATTTCCCTTATTCTAGTCATTGGAGGTTTTATATTTAGGTTTTGGTTTGCTCTTTTTTCATGTCTGTGTTGAGTGATATAAGCTGCTCTGTAATAACTGCTTTTACTGTGTCCCAAAGACTTTTATGTGATGTGCTATCACTATCATTTGTTTTAAAGTATTTCTTAATTTCATCCCTTATTTGACATATTATCTAGTTATTTATAAGTAGTATATTGTTCAGTCTCCATGTCTTTAATCTTGTTCCTGTTATTTCCATTGTTGGTGTCCAGTTTTACAGTGTTTTGATTAAAGAAAATAGATTGTAGGATCTCAATATTTTAAATTTGTACCATGTGTGCTGGAGAAGAATGTATAGTGTGTTGTTGGGTGGAGTGCTCTGTATATGTTTAGGAGGTTGAACCAGTTAATTGTGTTTTGTAGCTCTTCTGTTTCTTTAATTAATCTATTTTCTGATGATCTGTTTTTCTTTGAGAGTGGTGTGTTGAAATTTCCTACAATTATTGTTGAGTTGTTTAATTTCTGTTTTTAACGGCGAGAATTTGATTGATGTGTCTCAATTGTATTTCATTAGAATATCTATGTGTTTATTAGGATTATATGTTCCTGGTATATTGTTGCTTTACTCATTATGTAGAGTCTAATTTTGTTTCTCAGTATGTTAGTCTACTTGATGTCTATTTTATCAGAAATTAATATTAAGACTCATGCCTTTTTAGAGTTGCCATTGACATGGTAAATTTTTTATACATTGATTTTTAGTCTATTTTTGTCTTTGAGTTTACGGTATATATCTTGTAGGCCGTATGTAGATAGATCTTGTTTTCTAATTCACTCTAGTACACTCCATCTTTTGTTGGGTGCACTTAATTCATTGACAGTGTCCTTATATATGTGGGTCCTCTATTTCTGTGCTGTGTTGAGTGCTGCTTTCATGGTATTGGTTTCTTGGTGGTGTTGTACCATGTGTTGTTCTCCAGTTGGTCTGCTGGTGTTGATTCTCTGTCTATAGTGACTTGGTTAATATTTTTGTAATACTGTTCTTTTTTTACCAAAATCCTTTAGTTTTTTCCTTGTCTGAACATATCTTTATTCTTATCTTGCATTTGCAAGGTAATTTTGCTTGGTATAGGATTCTTGGTTGAAGGGCTTTTCTTTCAGCATTTCATATATATACCACTGCGTTGTCTTACCTGCATAATTCCTGCTGAGAAAGTCGAGCTTATCTCTATCACTTTTCCTTTTTAGGTGACTGCTTTGCTGCTCTTTTCCACATCTGCCCTCAGGATTCTTTCCCCATCCCCGCCCCCAGGATCCTGGAGAGTTTGTCCCTGGTATGTTATAATGTTTTTCTTTGGAGGTTTATCCTTTTAGATTTTCTCAGATTCTTCAATCCTTATTTTCTCCTCCTTTGTGATATTGGGGAAAGTTTCTTCCATGATCCCTTGTGGTATCCTCTCTGTTAGTGGTTTTTGTTTCTTCTTGTTCTGGGGTCTTGATAAGATGGACTATTGCTCTTGATAGTATCCCATATCACTTTCAAGCTTTCTGTGGATTCCTTCACTATTTTTATTGATAGTTTCTCTCACCAGTTTTCATCAGAATGATTGTCTTCAAGCTCATTTATCCTATTTCCTTTTCTTCCATTTATTCCTCAGGTCTTTTACTATGTTGCCTAATTCTGTTATCTCACTGTTTCTCTTCTGAGATTACTGTTGGCTTAAGGAATTTAGGTTTTCAATTTCTTCCTTTGTTACCGTGGCTGTTGGCCACATCTCTTGAAAATATCTAAATATTGTTCTTCTGCATTATGTATCTGGTAGTTCCAGGACCTTTTTCTCAGAGTAATCTATTATTAGGCTTAATCTATTATTGGGTTTGGTTGTTTGTGTTTATTTTTCTTTACTTTTTGGTGTTACTGTTTTGCCACTGTTCCTTCAGCATCATGTTACAATTATTAGTGTGAGTTGCTGTGTTATTTAGTTATTTCGCTCTGTCAAGTGATGTGGGAGAGGTCTGATAGGAGCCTGAAACATATGGTGCTGATGTGGAGAAAAGGGGAGAGAGATGTGTAAGCAAGGAAAGTAGGGGAGGAAGATGAAGGTGAAATAAAGTATTATTAATAAGAAATGGCTGCCTGGATAGGATAACAGACTTGTAAAAATATTGAAAAAAGTGAATTAATAAGTTTCATGGAAATATATTTCATGATGAAAAAGAGAGTGCGCAGAAAGAGATAATGGATGGATGTGCAGGGAAGAGAAGGAGACACAAAAAAGCCAAAAGACTTGGGTGTGACTTGGGTATGAGTGGAACTTCTGTTGCTATGGCAGCATGGAAGTGAATGTCTCTGTGCACTCAGGGGAAAAGTGGGGTGGGGTGGGGCAAGTCCTTGTTTGGATGGGTCTATCCAAATCTAAAGACCTGCCTTTTTCTTGTCTGGAAGAAATGCATATTCTCAGGAGAGTGGGGTTTCATTTGAAAATAAAGTGGGAGAGAACTAGAAAAAAAGTATTATAATAAGGTAAAAGGGAAGTTAGTTGGTGAAACCCAGGTAGGGGTGAAGCAGCGGCACTGCTGTCCTAATGGCGACAGGGAAAGCTAGCAGCAGCGATGGGGAAGGGCCAGAAGTCGAGACCTCTGTCACCTATTACCGGTTGGAGGAGGTGGCAAAGCACAATTCATCGAAAGAAATATGGCTGGTGATCCACGGGCGAGTCTACGATGTCACCCGCTTTCTCGAAGAGCATCCTGGAGGAGAGGAGGTCCTGTTGGAACAAGCCGTTATCGATGCAAGTGAAAGTTTTGAAGATGTAGGTCACTCCTCTGATGCCAGAGAAATGCTAAAGCAGTACTATATTGGTGACGTTCATCCGTGTGACCTTAAAACTGATAGTGGCAAGGACCCTCTGAAAAATAATTCGTGCAAAAGTTGCTGGTCGCTTTGGGTCCTCCCGGTCCTAGGCGCAGTTCTCTTAGGCTTCCTGTACCATTACTACACATTCGAAAGCAGATCCTGAGGAGGCCTTGGTGGAGCCTGGAAAGCACAGTGGGAGTGAAACCAGAGACTTGCTTTGGGGGCTGCAGAATTGTCCGCCTCTTGAATCCTGCCAGTTGTATACTTTCCTGTGGCACCAAGGCAGCTGGCCGGATAGCCATCTTGGACCTCGACCAGTGCCCTTCTTCTCCCAGAGCCTTATCCCAAAAGCATTTGCTCCCATTGCTGTGTTCTTCTCAATATTTCCCTCATCCACAGCTTGCCACAAGTACCTGTCCATTGAAAAACTTGTTCACGATTGTAATTGGTATATTATGGTTATATTGCCATTTGTAAGAATGCCTGCATTCCAATATTTTAAATGTATACCACACCGTCGCAGTCAGGCAGCACCTTCTGAGTTTTCCATCTTGATTTTAAATAAATACTAAGCTTCTAAATGTTCAGATTTACTTCTCTTGCTTGTCCTACTTGGCTAAGAGATTTTAATTCGTGAAGTGGGTGTCTGCTGCTTAAAACACAACTGCCATTAGTCTTGTGTTATATTTGTCAAAACCCATCCATGGGCTCAGGTTATCTCTTCTAAGCTATCTCCGAAACTCAGTGTTTTTTTTTTAGAGGGTACTGGACAAAACTATGCTTCCCTTTTTCTCCTTAGGGGTGAGAGGAGATAGGAGGAAGGAGGGGATATGAATTGGGATGACAGGGCCTAGCAAATTCATAGTAATATTTTTTTAATATTGAAAATACTACTTTATGATCAGAGTTTAGTAAAAACACCAGACTTCAGCCTTCACTTCAGCTTGGTGTCTTGTTAGCCATCTGTGCCCAACTCTTAACTATTTTTTATTGGTACAATATAAATTTATAATTATGTCTAGAGTTTTACCAGGGATTTTTGCTGGGTGGTTTTTTCCTGTGCTTGTTTATGGATAAATATATTGTAGATTGCCCGTTGTACAAACATGAAGCTCCACACGGACCACGGGGCAGTCTCTGTGGTAAAATGACCCTGGAAGCAGGCGCATGCGCTCCTCTAGCCTGCGTTGGACCTCTGAGGCCCCCCGACTGTGGACTTCGTTCTGTTATACTCCTGGAATCGACATGGGCGTCGTCCAGGGCTGTGTGCTTCATTGACGAGCAGGTTCCCGATGAGAGTTGGGCTACTGTGCTGTTACTGTTGCTTCTTGGTTCAGAAATGTTACTGGCTTCCTTCATGCTCACTGGGTCCCCAGTGGGAGCATCTGACGGGACAACCCTGCCTGTTTTCATCCCAGACTCTCCCTAGTCTGCCACAGGGCCCTGGTCCTTTCCAGCAGGGAGCAGCCAGCTACCAGGAGGGCCCAGCTCACTGTCTCCTCCCCCTGCCAGCTTGCCAGGGACTTGACGAGACAGGAAACTGCCCAGCAAACCAGTGTCTGCCTTTCCAAACTATTTCAGAACAAGTTCAACCAAGGTCTTGTATCCTGTGCTTTAGCAGTTGAATGCATTCAGGATTCATCCAAATAATATTAACCACACGCTTGCACACGGGGCTGTGATGTGGAATAATTTTAGGGCAGTGGTTCTCAACCTTCCTAATGCCGAGACCCTTTAATACAGTTCCTCATGTGATGGTGAATTCGCCCGCCCCCCCCTCCCCAAACCATAACATTATTTTCGTAGCTACTTCATCACTGTCTTTTTGCTACTGTTATGAATCAGGCGACCCTGTGAAAGGGTCGTTCAATCCCCAAAGGGGTCGCGACCCACAGGTTGAGAGCTGCTCTTTTAGAGGCTTTCACATTTCCTTTTATACGTGGAGGCACAGGTGTAGTCAAATGTTTTATCTTTAAAACAAACTTCGTATTATAAGATGTTTCTTTAGGACAATTTCTTGCCTTTTTAAAAAAAACAAAAAAACCATGGTTCGGCTGTAAGGAAAGTAGTGAGACTGGCTACGCCTGGGGAACGTTGCTGTCATGATTACATTGTAGGATTACTCCGTGAGGCCCCGATGGGGTTGGGGAAGAATAGGAGAGGCCGAGGTGTAGGGAAAAGGAGCCTTCCGGCTCACACTGAGCCAGAAAGTCACAGGGCTCCATTGTAAACGTATTTGTTGTCAGCCTCCAAAATGGAATGACAGCCGTCTGGCTTCTCAGAAAAGATTAAGAATGATAGTTGTCAGTCAGCTCATGTGTGTGTTGTGTAGAGTAAACACCAAGGCAAACAGGTAATGTTTTTCTATCCGAGCTTGTTTTATGTCTCTTCCTGTTAAAACAACCCCTCTGGGCTCCTTCTAGCATGCCTCCCGCTGGCTACGTAAATTCCCAGGTGAAAGGTAGAGCTCGTGGGAGCTGGGAGCGTCTGCAGAGATTTGTCTCAACAATCAGGGACCAAGCGGACCCATGTTCTGGAGGTCAGTCGGGAAAACTCCAGAGAGCCAGTGGAGCCCTTCTCTGTGGGCTGCCGGCACCTCCCCCCGGGGGGCCGGCCTCCAGGGAGTTTGTTTGTTTGTCCCTGAGGAAGACTAGGGCTTGCACTCTCTACTGCACAGGTAATTGACTAGGAGTGGGGGGTGGTGAGGGGACATGTGTGTCTTCAAAATCAGAGTGGGAGTGCCAGTCCTCCAGAACGCCCTGCCCCTGGCTCTTAGGAGTGGGTTTTGGTTTTCAAATGACTTACATTTGAAAGTGGGGAGGACAAAGTTTGAATTGTGCTCCCTTCTCATGTGACTGCTGAATCCAAAACAGTGTGCTGGCACCTCCCGTGTGGGCCCTGTGGAGTTCTTTGAGCAGTTGTCAGAAATGGGTGTGTTGGGAATCAGCAGCATTGTTCCACATTCACTCGCTTCTGCTGGGGAGCAAGGAAAACCGCTTCCTAGGCCAGGCCCGCTTCTCCGACAGCAACTCAGGCTTGATGGCGTCTGTGGTCCCCACTTGGTTAAATTCCATTTGGGGGAGAGACGCTTACGATGTCAGTGTTAAGACCTCCTTACCCTAGAAGTGGGTTCTGACATACCTCCGAATGAAACTGATTTTTTTTTTTAATCCATCTCATTTTGATGCCAACTATCCCAAAAGACTTGGGAAGTTTAGTCACATTTGGCTTCTGAGGTCTGAAGGGGCCCAGCTTGCAACTTGAGGGGGAGAGGTGGTTGTGATGTAGCAGGGAGAGAAGTGTGTCACATGGCCTCCGCTGTCTCCAACGTCTTTCTCCTAAGTTGTGGTAGCTGCCCTTCATTTCACCTCACACCTACAGCCTAGATGGGTTATTTGGACAAACATCATGATGATGATTTAGCTTCCTTTCTTTTGTACTACCCCTTTGACTGTGAACTCCTGATATTAACATTCTTTGTGTGTATTCAATAATAGCATTTGTTTACCTATTTCAGTCCGACATATTTTGCACAAAGGTCTTTGTCTCCTGCTGGAGGAATGTGCACACAGTGAACACTTGTTGGGACCAGACACAATAAAGACTCTGTTTCCCTTTTAAAAAAATAAATACATTTTAAAAAACGGTAAAAGTACAAAAATTGAAGATTCTAAAATAAAGTGGAAAAAACCAGAAACAAATCCGTGTATGTGGGGATTCCTACTCTTTGGAAGTGTTATTTTTGTGTACTCATGTGCCATGTCGGGGAGATGGAAACATAGAGACAGTTTGGGGGGTGGGGGGGCGGGCGGCATGGGGACGACACCGGAGAATAATAATAGGATCAAAGGATTCAGGAGTAAAATGGCAAAAAGTATAGCTTGGTTACTGAGAATGCCTGTACCAAGCTGTTCACAAGATTTGCTCTCCACAGAAGGTACACAGAGGCCATAGAAGTAAGAGGTCTGGCTGCCTGTGTTCCTTCAAAGTACAGAAAAATTGACGATGCCAGGAAGCAGTGATTCATGCCATTAGTTAATGGCGAAGGGGAATCTGTCATCAGACTCTGCTGCTCTCCCACATAGGAGACTTTAGTGTAGTTTGGCTTTAGGTTGATTTTCTTGCTTTCAGGAAGGATGGGATATCCTTCCTAGTGAAAAATGTCCCAGAGATGCTGAGATCTTCCCATGCTTGTTATTTGGTGACCACTTTCCCCCATCTCTTGGTCTATAAACTTCTGAAGGTAATGGGACCATTTCTCTAACCCTTCTCCAAATATTTTGTACTCTTGAAGTTATGCCATGTCAAAATGACAAGTATTCAAATTGTGTTCCTTTTAAATGTTGAGGGATCAAAAGAAGACTGAACACACAACATTAGGGCTATCACATGAAAAGGATAAGGTATTCCCATAAAATTCTCATAGGATAGCCCTTGCTACCCTCAAAGAATGAGAAGATGTATTTCCATGATAGAAAGCAATTCCTAGGTGAAACTTTCCTGGCCTTTATGTCACTGATGCATTTTTAAAAGCTTTCTTAAAACTTCTCCCTAAAAAGCCCCATGGCTATCTATGTTCTTTTAGAGAATCTATCAAGATAACCCCTTGGGAATCCCTAAAAGCAATGGTCATACCCTCTTGAGCTGACCTCTCTGTCCTCATTTTAAATGGTCTACCATATCCCCTTAGAAGCCACTATTTTTATTATGCCTGTTTTATTTTTCAGGCACATTTACAAGACTGAGACAAATGTATTACTGAGAGAACTTGCCAGCAATCATCGTACTAGCAATACTTTTTGATGTACCCCGGTATATTGAAATTCATAAGCTGAGCCAAAGAAGGAGGAAGCAGTTTCTGTGTTTGAAGGCATGAAAGGCTCAGCCAACCTCTAAGAGTACACCAGAGTAAACTATCTTTTAAAGCAGTTCAAATTTTTGTTTATTGTCTCTGACATTTTACACTAAGAATGAATGTCTAAGATGTTTACTGGAAAACTGGCTAAATTTTTATTATTTTACAAAAAGGATAACAGACTGTAGCAAAAAGAAGAGGCAAAAATGGATGTACTGGCCTCTAGTCCTGGAATAAACAAAGAAACATTATTGCTTGGGAAACTGTTTTTGTTTGTTTGTTTGTTTTTTGGAGATTTTGGGGGGTTG